TCAAATACAATTATCGTCAGACTTTAGGACTTTTGTAATAAAAATAGTTTTAACAGAAGTAACCAGCGTACGCTTTAGTTCACGGCTGTATGGAACAAGAATATTATATTTTATTAAGTACATACTTCTATTAATTTTGAAATCGTTTCGCGTAGTGCTTTGTATTCAGTTATTAGCTGATATTTCACTTATTGACTTATGTCTGTATAAAAGCTCTCTATTCCATCTAAAAGCACTAGAATAATTTAGTGAAATTCAAACCGGAGTACCCCTTCTGTAAGTAAACAGAAAGTTTTGAAGAGAATTGATTGTTGAAAATATATTGTAAATATTCTTCGATCTTTGAAATTATATTATAATATTATTTAAAATTATTATATCAAAAGCCCATTTAAAGCACATTCATTTATATACCAATTGATATGTACACGATCTCCCTTTTTCTATTTTGAATCTCGAATGTAGTGGGAATTCCACTTAAAGCAGAAGATTTATTTATCAGAACAAATAGACAAAGAGTGTGTTAGGGACGAAAGTGTGTAAAAACCATTTTTTTTCATAATTTTTTGCATTCCTAAAGTATTAATCTGATACAGATGAAACTTTGCTTTTGGTGATATGTTTGGCTCAGTTTGTAGTGACCCTACTTGCAGCACCAGCGGTCGCAGGTTCGAGTCCCGCTGGGGACATTCATTTGTGTGATGAGCCCGAATGTTTGTACTCCAGTCATAGGTGTTTATATTTATAATATGTATGTATTTAAAGTTATATAATTCCTTTCGTTCGTCGTTTCGAGTTTTCATGCGGTTTCCTTTCGCATTGTTCCACACAAAATATGCTCGCTAATTTCGCACGCCCGCGCTAAGCGTCGTGGTCATGCGGCCAAGACGCACGATTGACAATCACAGATGTCCATGTTCGAATCCCGGTCGAATATGAAGTTTTTGCTTTTGTTTTTGTTTGTATTTGTTCAAGTTTATAATTATTATTTTTTTAATCTAACAAATACGATATAATAAAAAAGAACTCCGAGTGAAGTTCGGTCGGATTGATAGCATTGATATGTGTTTTTTGTAAAATTTCATCGTTTTCATTAATTATAAACATACAATTTCGTTTGAGACATTTCATCCTTAACACTTAAATGTGATAGATGTGATGTGATTTACGCGAATATTTGACATCTATACATATAATAAAATTGTAATTAAGCCGAATCTGTACATTAAATATTTTTTTGGAAAATCTTATTGAAATAAACATAATTATCGATACAGAGATTGAATCTATAGTTTTTAGAATTTTTGTTTGTCTGTCTGTCTGTTACCGCATCACAGAAAAACCACTGGAGGGATTTTGATGAAATTTTGTATGGTGATAGCTGGTTATCCGAGTCAACATATAGGATATTTTTTACCGCGGGAAAATGCCTCATTTCTGAGGAAAAATACAAAAACTGCAATGCAAGAGTATACTAATATGTAAAACCTAATAATTTGGTTTTTGGTTGATTATTTCGCGGATTTATTTGGAATTTTGGTTCCCGACGTTTCGAATGCTTTACAGCAATCATGGTCACGGGAGAGACTAATTTTTGTTATAGACGTCTCAAACACATACTTGTTACTGACCGTGCCTACCCACTATTTTACAAAAATGAGGTCTATTTTACAAAAAGGTCTACCTTTATGTACTCGTATTTTCAGTTGGTTCGATTACCGGTTCAGGTCACCCTTTAAAAAAATTAAATGCATTTATTCTAATTTTTTAAAATAAAATAATATTTTCTTTGACTGAAACTTGATATTTTCAGAGTTTAAGACACTTTTCTTCCATGTCTTGTGTCTTTATTCCACGATGTTAGAGTCGATATGTATAATTTGTAAGATTTCATCGTTTTCTGTAATTCTAAGACGCAATGTTTGTTCGAGAGATTTTATCCTTCTCATGACCCTATCGATTAATTCGATAAAATAGTGACGGTGTCCTTTTCCGGTTTTGGTAAGCTTTTAAAAAAAAATGTAGTTATTATTATTATTTTTTTATTATTAAATAAGGCTTACCAACTAGAGTACATACACAAGCTTAATCACTAAAATAACGTTAATAAATTCCTTTTTTGTATATAACTCTAAATTAAAGGCATGCACAACATTTTATAATTAGGTAATACATACACTCTACTTAAATGACAATAATATTAAAAAAATAAATGAAATGTAACACTAAATGATATCTTTAAGATTTCTTTTAAAATTGTACATTGTATTTGAAAATATATCTATAACAGGATACTTGCGAGAGATTTCATTATAGTTTATTAAGATTTTCTTTAAAGGTGAGTTTTGTCCGAATCTATTTTGTCTTAAACTAATGTAAAAAGGTTGATAATAAAATTATAAATGTTGATATAATTTTTTTTAAATAATGAAATCTTTCCTTTGAGTAAATCTTGATAACTTTGATATTTAAGATACTTTTCTTCCCTGTCCCATCGATTTGTTCTACCCTGCATACTCAATATTTACGAAAACCATGGTAGGTAAGAGAACAGATGTGGATATTATGTGAGTAAACATTGTATGTATGTCAGTGTATACAAAGCCAGGGCGGCTAACTATTAAGGGATATAATCTGCAGTTGCACTTTGAGAGGAAGCTATGCATAAAGCACCACTGTAGCTGCCGGCCTGACTGTGTGTGTGTGTGTGTGTGTCAGCGTCGTCTGCGACAGATCATGCTAATTATTTCGTCCGTTAACAATGGATTGTATAATATCCGGGAGAACAAGCCGGAGTAATTTCAGTAATTACACTAGTTAATTGTGATATGTCCATACTAAGCTCGGCACAATCGTGGCATGACGCGGCGAGATCTACACAATACTGTGCTGTATAGTTATAATTTGTATGAACAATATTTTGTCTCCAATAATCCATAATTGTGTGTCTGTTTGTTTATTCATCATCAGAACATAAGTGGAAATAGATCACCTAGATAGATCATCCTCTTATGGATGATCAGATGTAGCGCTACTTCTAATCCCGTCAAAACATCAAGCAAAGTCGGAGTAAAAAAATAAACCTTCTATTCTTTGCTTTTTAAATCGATGCGTGTTAGCTGGAGGTGCACAAAGAATACTGTTTTAGTCCGACGGTCATTTTATGTATACAACTAGCGGCTCCCCCTCGTTTCGCTCGGGTTTACCCCTACAAAAACAAAAACAAATAAATGCCACGGGAACCGTATCTTTTTCCGGGATAAAAAGTATCCTATGTGTTATTCTGTTGTATGATCTATATTATTGTAAGGGTTCATTGAATTCTCTTCAAATTTTTCTTCTTTTTGCGTGAAAGAGTGACAAACATCCATACATCTACACATCCATATATACATTCAAATCAACAACTCTCGCATTTATAATAGGTATTAGCACAATATAACATACTAGTGTTTTCTCACGGCATTAACCGTGTAGTTTAATTATGTAGTTAAATTATAGCCTACTAGCGACTCACCCTCGCTCGCTCGGGTTCGTTTTAATTTTTTGGAGCGGAACCCTAATTCTTTTTCTAAAATAAAAGTAGCCTATGTTACTCCCTATAATATCAGCTATCTTCCAGTAAAAGTCCCGTCGAAATTCGTCTAGCTGTTTCAGGGATTATACGGAACAAACAGACAGACAGCCAGACAAAAATTAAAAATTTGTGTATTTCTTATAAGTACCGTATATAATTTCACATGCATTTAGTAAAACGCTGTTATTTTGACATTACAAACAGACACTGCAATTTTATTTATCTGTATAGATTCGTTATTCTGATGTATAACCTATATCACTGTAAAGTTTCATCAAAATCGGTTTAGTAGTTGGAAATAGTAACAGACATACATCCATATATACATAGACTTTCACATTTGGAATATTATAGTAATATATTTAATTTATTGTTTTTTCTTCTTTCATGCCACAACGAGGCAGTAGAAAACGTGATACTTGTATTAGAATTATGTAAATATTTGACACTTATAATAAAACTATCTTTTCGGATTTGTTCGCGGTTTCATTTATATTTTCGGTTTCGGACGTTTCGAATGCTTTACAGCAATCAGGTCACGAGAGAGACTAAGGTCTTAGACTATATAGTAGTCAATGTCTGGAGTACGTACGGAGTCGCAGAGCGCCCGAGGCTGGATCCTATACGAGTATGTAAATTCTATCTACGTTTTACTGTAGAGCTCTTACAACACTCAGCGATGCGATATTTAAATGCTATGCAGATCTTACAACGGCTGCCTCGCTGGAAGCTCCTTGTTCTAAATTACATGAATTTCCTTAACATCTGGCCATTTAATTTATTGTAGTTCCTGGAATTCGCGTTTTATTGCTGTTTAAAAAATATATAATGTATATTTTGATATCTTTGATGTTTGATTTTTTGTGTGGTGTTTTGTTTCATAAATATAAAGAGTTTTTACACTGTACATTATTATAAATATAAACTAAATCATAAATGCTGTTTATTTCTGCTTAGTAATAGTATTTTTTTTTAAACTCTTGGAAGTGTGGTAAATATTATTTTTATAATGCTACACGCAATAAATGAATCTATAAAATACTACTGGTCTGTTTTGATTTTGTCACCAAAATTGCATTACTTCAACAACAACAAAGATATATATTGTATTTTAATTTTAAAATGTTATATAGTATAATTTTGATTTTTTAATTGTAATATTTTGTAATCTTTTTACGTTATTTATCTAAAATAGATTTTTTTTATTTAATTTAACGTGATATTGTTTGCAGTAGCAAAGGCTCCTATCGCAATTCTAAGACGTTGATGTGTTCAAATTTGTATCTTCATCTACATAATCGATTTTTTGAGACTATCAGAAATCAAATGTACATAGAAATTTCTAATTAATTATTTATCAATTTGTAATTACAAAGTCTAAAAAGGAAACTCAAATAACCCAAAAAAAGTATTAATTTTCTTAAATGACTGCTGGCTGCTGAGCCGGAGCCTGGGGAGCATCTCCCAAGGCCTCCACTAACCCACGTCGCACGCGGAATGTAAACATCTCGAGGAGAGCATCGACGTATTTGTAACGTTGAGAGTTATTACTTGCGTCAGTGAACATATTCGCCATTTTCCTCGTGATAGCAAAGCAATATTTAAGAAGTGGGTCATGTTGTAGGAGATAGCGACTCGTGTTTGTAATGCAACGAAATATCAAGCTGGTCAAGAAATTGTGTAAAACTAAAGAAAAATATACAGAAAACTCTCAGAATACTAAAGACGTTGTGTTCCACGTTCGAAGCAATTTTCTTTCTAGCAGACGTTAACAATGACTATAGAGAAATGAATTAAGTTTTTTACAATTTAAGTATTCGAAATGTCTTACTCAGAGATCGGACGAAACCAAGCTCAGCCATTAGGTTAATTAGACAACAACTCTTTTATATTCTCCGTACAATATGCAAACTCTTTACTGATAATATAAACAAAAAATGTTTGTTTTCCTTTGCAATACTAACGGGACGATGTAGATTTTTGCATTTAAGTACTTTTTATTGCAGTATATGAAGTAGCTTAATCGTATTATTTAACTAGCATTTGCCTGCTTTAAGGCTGTCTTATAAGACTGCCTCCGTGGTGTAGTGGCTAGCATGTACGGCTGCACACCCGGAGGTCCTGGGTTCGAGTCCCGGGTCGGGCCAAGTTTAGTTATTGAGTCTTTCTGTATAAGTAAGCCTCAGTAACATCTCGGAGTTGGGAAATTGGCGGTGTTTCACCCCTGTGCCTCGGAGAGCACGTAAAGCCGTCGGTCCTGCGCCTTAACTTTCACTGGTCGTGTCTCGTGTCGTCCCACCGGAATATGAGAGTGACGGGAATAGAGAGTGCACGTTGTGTCTGCGCGTACACTTGTGCACTATAATATCTCCTGCGCAGTTGGCTAGTCTCAATGAGATTGGCCGCCGTGGCCGGAATCGGTCGGGAGAACATCACATCATAAGGAATTACCTGTCATGTACTTATACTTTCTGACATTACGCAATTACTTAATCAGTGAGTGTTATTTTACTTTTACACTCGTACATAATAATATATATGTCGATATCTATATATGTATAGGCGTCAATTATGTCTACTATATTTTAAACAATTAATCAAGAACAGTTCAAATCGATATATTACGTAAAGAAATGGATTTCGATCGATAACTATCTGCCAATATATCTTCCAATTATTTGACTAACGAGAGGCAAAAATTTGTCAGAGCTCCACAGTAGTGACGTCACATACGTATCTCTCATAGATCAAACAATGTGAAACAACAAAATACACTCGAATGGAAATCGCATGATTGAAACACACGTCGCGCTGACACATACATATGTAAGAGTACATAATATATTTATATTGTAACAGGTTTTTTTTATATAATATCATGTTTATTATCGACGTGTTATCAATACATAATTTCTTTTTCAATTACAAATAACTGCTACAAATTATAATTTTAGAGTTAGAATATATGCCTAGTCAAAGTTAATGTTATGGCCACCGGCATTTATGTCAATGAGGAAAATAAAGGAAAAACAAGTATTGATAGCTGTTTAAGATAAACAAACAACTAAGCAAGTAAAGCTCACGAAGGTATGTAGAGCACCGAATGGAAGACATAATTGAAACAGACGTTACGACGTACCTACATACATATAAACATATATTGTAACAGATTGCAGTAAGTAAACTATCAAGTTATATTAACGAATACGCTCTTTTTGTTGTAGAAGCTCATTCCAAAAAAAAATCTTTAACAAATAATATAAGTTTTGTTTTATTACAATTATTTTAACTAATTATGATCTTAGAAATAGCATGTACGTATATGTATAGTTAAAAATAATGTTAAGTTATATCCAACAGCATTTATGCCTACAAAGAAAACAAAGAAATAACAACGATCGACAGTTATTTAAGAGAAACAAGTGTCTACGCAAGTAGAGCCGTTCGAATGAAGTGAGATGATTGGAGCGGACGCCGCGCTGACAGATCGCCGCCGGAGGTGGTCTGGAGACAAATGCGGTACACTCGCCAAGAGAATTGTGGGGAGGCTGTTAACATTTGTGCAATAGCAATATATAATATACAGTAGAATAGTCATAGTACGAATACATTTATATACTTTTACTACTCATTAGTTTCTTTAATTATTGATGACTACGAATAATTATTTAATTATTCAATATATATTGAAAAAATTGATAATAAAAAAGTAAGTGTAAAAAGCAGAAATTTATTTGATCTGTATTAGACATGTCTTTCCATACGAGTACATTCAAGTATGCAATATGCTAATTAGTGAGAAGAATATCAGTTAAATACCTATTATTGCAAAGTTTAACTTTATATACATAAATATAGTATTATTTCGTTTCGTTCAATTAAATTATATATAATAAATAAATATGTACGGAAATTAATATTTTAATACAACAATTAAGTACCGACGTTTCGCAAAAAATAGCACAGTTCTTTAATGAAAAATTTATTTTACTTTAACTAATAAATAGTCAAATATTTTCATACTCTACTTAAAAGCTCTATCATGCCCTATTTTCTAATACCAGATATATGACGCCAATACATATTCATATCTGTAAGTTTAACTGCTAACGCCTATGTGTGGACACGAACTTCTATTTCCATACAATTTGCAACAACTTCATTAGACCGCAAAATTGTGAAACTTAAGCGGTTACTTAAGTATAATTTCTAAATTACACCGTAAAAATATTTTTAAATCGATCCAAATTATGCATAAAAATAATATGAAAACACAGTGTCTGAATTTATTTCTACTTATATATTAAATACAAAACATAATTAAAATAGTCTTTAATCAAACACTTAAAAACTTACTATTATATATTTCCATATATCACATACGTAGCATACTTCTATATGCAATATTATACATATATTATATAATAATATTTATAATATATGTATGTTGGTATATGGATAAATATATGTATATTGTCATTTCACACATCATAAATATCATGCTGACACTTTCAGGCACATATTATGTAACACTGTACACTTGTATAGTGTATATAAAAATAAGTATATTTGTAATTTCAATACATTTTAATTTCTTGTTTTTAGTTAAGTTTTACATATTAATTGAAACAGTTTTATTTTATGATCTTGCTCCCGACGTTTTGAATGCTATACAACATGATCACGGGACTCTTTCTCACCAAAAAGATTATAATTAGTAATAAAATAAGTACATAGAGACTACGAATGAGAGGCTTAGACTTACCAAAGAGAGTGGTGCAATAGAGCGTGCAGAGCGTGAAGAGAAGAGCTTGGCACGGCATGATGTGCAGGCGGGCGGGGGCGGGGGCGGGGGCGGCGCACGCTCTCGCTCATCTCCACGGGCGCTGCATCTGCAGCACACAACATCTGCATCAACATCTCAGCTAACAGACGCCCTGGACCAGGGCCTGCCTTCAGTACTAATGGGGAATCAGGCCATACGTCCACCACGCTGGCTAAGTGCGGGTTGGCGGAATTCACATGTCTTTCGAAAACTTGCTACATGCAGATTTCCTCACGATGTTTTCCTTCACCGTAAAGCAAGTGATAATCATGCTACAAATGATTCGCACATGAAAATATCAGAGGTGCAAGACTCGGGATTTGAACCCGCTTCACACGGTTTCCCAAGCGAGCGCGTTACCACTGCCAAATTATATTTATATATCTTATTTAAAATTACATACCAATATTAAATGAGTTTTTTTTGTAGATAACGATTGCATAAGGCTACTCACCCTCGCTTCGCTCGGGTTCGTCCCTACTTATGTTTTAACGTTTAGTATCGATTTCTCAGAAATGAGATATTTTCCCGCTGTAAAAAGTATACTTTATGTTGACCCGGATAACCAGCTATCATCATACCAAATTTCATCAAAATCCCTCCAGTGGTTTTTGCGTGATGCGGTAACAGACAGACAGACAGACAGACAAAAATTCTAAAAACTATAGATTCGGCCTCTGTATCGATAATAATGTCTATTTCCAGAAGATTTTCCAAAAAAAAATTATGTACACATTCGGCTTAGTTACAATTTTATTATATGCTATAGACTTGACAGTAGAATCCAAATACATCACTAAACATCTCCATTTAAGACAATTAAGTTTAATAAGTAAGATTTTATAATATAACAGAAAGGGCTTAAAAACTGAACCTTGCCCTGTGTTTTGTAGGATACGTTAAATCGATGCTAAATTCATAATAATGAACTGACTATAAGACAGCTTGGTACTCGTAAGCTTTTAAACCCCTTACGAATACAAAAAGATAATACACATGATGCTCATTCGTGTCGAGTACCTCCGCACAGCTGTTATAGATAGAGTAGAAGTGGGCCTGTCGGTATTAGTTTGTTCTTCACACAAAACAAGGAAGGAGTCGGTGTTAACATACTAGCAGAGCCCGCGATTTCGCTCGCGCTATAACTACAAAAATTACTCTAAAAAGGTAGGTTTCATACAAAATTTTATCCCCTATTTTATCTCCCTTATATGAATTTCAAAAACTGCTGAAATATGTATTTATTTAATTGTATTGAAGAGCATTAATGTTTCAAGTAATTCTGATCTTAAATAATTTTTGGCTTGTATTATAACATGCTTTCCCGTAGGAATGATATAATCTCTCACAGTAAAAAGTAGCCCAGGTCATTCTCCAGCCCTCCCAACTATCTTTACACAAAAAATCAGGTCAATCCGTCACTCTGTTTCAACGTGAAAGTACGACAAGCAAACAAGCAAACAAACACACTTTCATATATATAATTTTAAATATGGAAGTATAGATATGGATTTAAACTGGTAGCACCCTTGACCTGACTCGCTGTCAGTCTTTAAATTGACTACAAAGTACTTGTGAACGTCTAATTAATTACTGTTGATTTTGATTTAATTTAATTTGATATACTCGTAGTTTATAGATCTTACAGGAAAAAGGTTTCTAATGGACTAGGTTTTACTGAGGAATAAGTGTGAGCGGATCCATATTAAGTAGCACTCGCTTATTATACTTTAGTATAGGATAAGCTAATAAATTATTACCTAAAAAGCCTTCGAGCCAAATATTCTAACATAATATGAACTTTCATGAACAGATAAAATGAGATCTGTCATTTTAAAAGTATTTTTAATATAGAATTCTCACATCAGCACATTATATTTGACCTACACCTATTTCTCTTATGCTTATATTTCCGTACATCTTATGTTCTATATCAAGAAAAGGCAGTTGGTAATGTATTATAATACGTCAAAAATACGAAACAAATTGGTGTTAACAAGTACCACAAAAGTACTAAATTTGCGACAAATTTAAACCCTATTTCTAAAATAACAGAGTCGTATATTATTTAGCTAACACATTCTAGCGAAAGTAAAGAAAATCCAATACTATTGCTTAGGATTAAAGTCGCTTTTCATTTCTATTCATATTTTCACTTAGAGGTACTGAATTCTGGATTACAAATGAAACTGAAGCATCTGTAATAGGAATAAAGTTGTTTTTACAAAAAAACATCTTATTTTATATTAGAAGTGTGGTAGGCAGCATTTAGAGTGCTTCCTGAGAAAGTCGAGAACATTCTAAAGATAACATAATAATATCAATAATAAGTAAACTTTTATAATATATCAAAATCTCGTGACCTTGACCTTTACTCGTTTATCGCTCTTTCTATTAGTGAAAACCGTATCAAAATCCGTTGCGTGATTTAGAAGAACTATGCGGAGAAACAGACAGACAGACAGCGACTTAGTTTTATATTATGTACAGATATACCTTCTCGTAGATATAGATGAGCGACTCGCGCCCAAACTATATTTTGTATTTTCCCATGAAAATTAGAGATTTTACCGCAACTAATTGTTAACCCGTTAATTTTTAACTATGGTCACTTTTTACGAAATAACTCCTTAACATTTTTGTACGTAAAATAACTCAGTTGAACCAGTTATTGTGTGAATGACAGGTTTTTCTGTAGTATAAGGTATCCTCAATGTTGACTCGAGTAATAAGTTATCACCACAAGCATTTATTTATTTTTTTCAGTATTTTTTGCGCGAAATGTATACGGATTTACAGACAAAAATACAAAAATGTTGACGACAGCTATTGTTTTGGGGTCTATATTCTGTACACAATAACGTAACAGTCATTGTTTTAAAAAAAATATGTCATGTACAGATTTCGTTTTCTTACTATTTTATTTCATGTATAAGATTTATTAACAATGTAGTCTGATGAAGACTGGATCCCACATACGTCGTGCCACATACGTCGGTACGTACCTCTTAATATCAAAGGTAAGACAATCTCATTTATTCTGTACCAGTATATAAAAGTGGAAAAAGTAACTAAATATATGAGTAATATTCAAACTTGTAAACAAACTGAAAATGTTACTAATTTAAGATATTATGTTATTATAAATGCGCCTAATTAGAGAGAAATTCATATTTCAAAAGCTTAATTGAACCCCATTTACATCGCGAGGGTCGTGAGTTCGACCCTCGGTAGTTGAAGTACTTGTTGTTTATTTATTAAGATCTCTATCACTGACTACTAGTAAAATAAATTGCTCCATTGTGTACTGTAGAATATTCTCGTTTATTTCAATAAGTACACGTTATTTGGCGGTGCCGCTATTGATAATACAAACCTTAAGCTCTAAATATCTTAGGTACCAAAGTTAACTAACACTCGTTATAACAGAACTTATTCGATGGCTATTCACTTGTTTGTATAACAACTAATAATTTTTGCGTGTTTCAAAGACATATAATATTGAACTATTCACCTACAATGATTTCGACTCTTGGCAATTATCAAGCTACGTCACCTGCCGTCTATTCTCTGATATATTTTTTTTTAAATTGATTTTTTTTATAAATATTTTGGGACATTAACACACATCACCATCTAGTTCCATGGTAAGCCACGAGGCTTGTGTTATGGATACCAGGTACACTACACATTGATACACTACACATATATAACTTTTAAATACATACATGTTATAGATATAAACACCCATGACAAACATTCGTGCTTATCACACAAATGAATGCCCCTAGCGGGACTCGAACCCGCGACCGCTGGCGCAGCAAGTAGGGTCACTACAAACTGAGCCAAATGTGTCGTCCAATAGATTACTTCATACCTTACTTCATATCAAAAACAGGTATTTTCATCATCAAAGCATCATTAACTATAATATAATTAGTCTAATTTCAATTGAAAATATACACATATTTGTGTCTGAATGTATTGTGAAATTATACTCAAATTTTAAAGGTACTTTTAGATTACTTTAAACTATTTGGTCCAACATATCTAAAGTTTTTCCATTTTATAGTTATCCAATAGGAAGTAATAAGTTCGAACTATAACTGGTTAATGTAAACATTTTAATTTTTAAATAAAATTACTTTTTGGAATTTGACGTGGAAACTAAATTAAAATTATTATCCTTAATTAATTTTAACTTTTTAAATTGATGATGATGTTCTCCTAGCCGATTCCGGCTACGGCGGCCAATCTCATTGAGACTAGCCAACTGCGCAGGAGATATTATAGTGCACAAGTGTGCGCGCAGACACAAATGCACTCTCTATTCCTGTCGCTCTCATACTCCGGTGGGACGACTGCTCGACACGACCAGTGAGAGTGTCGGCGCAGGACCGACGGCTTTACGTGCTCTCCGAGGCACGGGGGTAAAGCACCGCCAACTTCCCAACTCCGGGCTGTTACTGAGACTTACTATACAGAAAGACTCAATAACTAAACTTGGCCCGACCCGGGACTCGAACCCAGGACCTCCGGGTGTGCAGCTGTACATGCTAGCCACTACACCATCGAGGTAGTTAACTTTTTAAATTACACATAGAACAATTATATGGCTTAAATAATTAATACTATATTTTATATTTTTCTTTATGGTCATAAATATAATAATGGCAACACTAAATATAGATTACTAATTAATATTTTTAAAATTGTAATAATTATAATAAAAACAGCAAAAATTAAATAAATAATTTTCCATATTCAATTATAAAACTAATTAAAATTATAAAAATGTTTAGAGTAAAAAAATATTGTAATGTAATTGGTGCAATTTTCATTTTGTAAATTGTGAGTAGGCTGTCTGTAACAACTATACCTTCGAGACATCTAACACCTGTCTCTCCCGTGGCCATGAATGCTGTAGAGCATTCGAAACGTCGGGAACTAAAAATCCAAATAAATCCGCGAAAAAATCCAAAAAGATAGTTTTATTTAAAATACTTTCTATCTTTATATCTCTACATCACTCCGCCAACATAAAAAAATGACATATACATGTAATGTATGAAAATGTGTGCGT